ATGATAAAAACAAACCCTTATTTAATTGATGAAATTCTAGTGATATGATTTCACAAATTTATGTTTTCTTTTCTTGTATATAATTTTCAAAAAGAACTTATTTTATGAATAAAATTTCTTTCGTTTATGAGAAGTGACACAATCCACTCACCACAATGCTTTGAAGTAAATAAAATTTCATATGACAAGAATTGTGATGTTCAGTGCTACTGCAGGGGAAAAGCCTTACCAATTAGAATGCATTATCACAATGGCAGAATCACAGGGAAAAGGACTGAAAATAAATATTGGAACTCAACGAACCAGAAAATTACAATTTTATAGATAGACACAGACACTGTCAGTTACAGGCAATGGCAGTTCAACAGTAAAAATTAAAAAGAGAGAAAAAAAAAAAAGTAAGCTGCAAAAATAACCTGAATCGGCCCCGCCAATGAGGGTTCACTTGAACGCCACGTGATGCATGTAACACACAAAAGGTCCCTTTGCAACTTGCAAGGGCAATGTACGGACCCCATCACTCACACATCGTGATTTCTGCCCTGCACCTAAATTTTGGTCCCCTAATTTTAAGTCCGTATGATTTTTAGTGTTTGCTCAGAATGGATTAAATGTACAAATTTTCGAGTCCATGATTATAATGGTACCAAAACTCATTTTATCAAGTTTTTTAATATAGTTTCGTGATTTTTTTTTTTGAATACATATATAGTTTCATGATTTAAATTTAAGGTCACTAATTTAAGCTGGAACACTGATTCATGTATTTGATGATATATAAATGTAAAACTTATTTATGATTTTGTTGTGGTAGGTACACACTGGCCCAATAAGTTGGATCGGCCGTCCAAGGTGTATTAAGGATCCAGTTTTATTTTTATGGTATCCTACATGCATGTGAGCTCATGAGCTTCGCCATAGGGAAATTTTTTGCACAACTTACCAATGTAAACACATGATGGTGAGGTAGTGCCCTCACCGGCAAGAGTAACGTCTAAACTAAGGATTTGGTTCATTTTCGCTCTCATTATTATGAAATATTCTTCCGCCTATATAAACTCATTTTTTTCAAGAGAAATGGCACTTGATATCACTTATTTTTATGAATTATTAGTATGTCGAATTCTAGAGCCATTGTAGCCATCACACACACACCCCACCCCATTCATAACTGTAAAGAATTGCTTCAACTCAAAATCTTAAGGTGTTGAGTGAAGGCTTTTTTAATGATTTATATTATTCTCTAACACACCCCCTCACGCAAGAACCCTTTGAGTTTGAAGCGTGGATATTGAACAGGCCCAATTTTTGATTTACCTTTTTGTGTTTTTTTTATTTAATTCCACAAGTGGGGGTGGTGAGGATCGAACTCGTGACTTTATGGTCACTCAAGCTCTGATACCATGTAAAGAACCGCTTCAACCCAAAACCTTAAGATGTTGAGTGAGGGCTTTTTTAATGATTGATATTATTCTCTAACATAAACTTTCTTTACAACTGTTTATGGTGACTCTACTTGAGTTTTGATCCATACCACTATCTCCTTAAACACTCATATATTGAGATATTATACTCCTTGAGGAAAACGGCCATCCGCAATAGTTCAGGTTTCAAAATTTGTTTATCTATATAGGAGGAGTCCGTAACAAAGGAGAACTCTCATGATGACAAATCAAAAATAATTAATTTTTTTTTGGTATACTGATCTTAATTATCTTTTTGAGGTGAGTTGGTCCCTCGGTATTCCCAAAAGCTTAAACTCTTTGAGTCGGTTATGAGATTAATCCCAAGTCGGGGCTTAATCACTGTTAATCTTTTCGCTTCTCCCCAAAAATGTATTTGGTGGGAATCAAATCCAAATTCTCTTCCTACATACTCAGCTTGTGTCGCCAACTGAGCTACATTCATTGGGTAAATCAATAAGTAAATTCAACACCACATTTCACCCACGATGATGAGCTATTTAGCAATCTTAATTACACGTGTACATAAAACTCATTCAAACGGACATAACAAATAAAAAAAAAACTCATTTTATGTAAGTATAATGATTTGTTATTGTTAATGAGAGTTGATTCAAATAATGTTCAATTATGTCAACTCTTCCTTATGGTAATCATCCTTCATTGACAAGTCTATAACTATTCACCAAGGTTTGTATCATGTACTCCCGTTAAAATGCATGCAGATTATAAAAAAATAATTTAACCTAAAAACTTAAGCTTATAAGTGACAGTCTTCAATAATTTCATATTATATATTTTTAACACACCTTTTACGCAAAAGCTCTTTGAGCATGAAGCTTGGAGATTGCATATGCCTTTTTTGTCTACCTTTGCTGACTAAAATGCCACTAGAAAATAAGGGTGGTGATGATCAAATTCGTGACCTCAGGGTCACGAAAGGTCTAATATCATATAAAAAATAATTTAACCCAAAAACGTAAGTTTATAAGTGATATGAATATTCAATAATTTTATATTATATCTCTCTAACATGGATGATGAACATGTCAAGTTAAAGATTAATTAGAGTAGACCAGGTCATGAGATCCGAACTCACTCTTTTACTTTGAAGTACAGAGTTTGAGGGTTCAAATTTATAAAAAAAACATATTGAACGTAAGCTATCAAATGATTGTAGCTCAGTTGTTGCATGAGAGCTGAGTAGGTGAGGGTGAGAGCATGTATTCGATGCTTTCCAATACCATATTTGAGATAGATTTAAAGTCTTAATCCTAGATCCGCCCAGAACATAATTGCCTCCCATGAAGGATATATATAGTTTATTTTAAAAAAAAAAAATATTGAATCTAAGCTCGTTTTAATGCTAAACCGAATGAAAAATAATTAAATTTTGATCATTAAATATGGTATGAATAATCTGAATCAAAAGTTATACAACAATTACTTGACTACTTAAATTTTTTTATATAATTTTATATTCTTTTTAACAACACATGCAAAATTAATGTTTAAAGCTTATTCTTCTCATCCGCAAGAAATTAATGCTTTCTCTAACTATGTTGCAATTCTGATTTGGGGAATTGATTCGCCTATCTGGAGCCAAGTGGGAAAGAAAGGGATTGTTTGATGCTTAATAAGCTTAGTGGTAAAGGTGGAGCTGTCATAGAAATCTCAAAACCAATGAAAATATGGAATGTTTCCAGTTGGTCACTGCACAGTACATATTACCACATGACACGAGGGCGTTGAGTTGAATTGGTACACTCATTGATTGAAGAAACAATGTTATACAGAAAATAGAATAAATTCTGAATAGCTAAATTAGTATATGAAAGATATATCGTAGGTAAAATTGCTTCTTCAAAGATAAAAAATAATAATAATTATTAATGAAAGATGTGTATTGTATTAGGGAAAAATGTGTGTCATTTTAAAGATGTAAAGTTGTGTCATTTTAAGAGAGAGAAAGAGATAGATAAAGGAGGAGAGAGAGTTGACAAAAAAATAAAAGTGTAAGTCCCACCTTTTTATGAGAATGAAAAGATATAAGTTATATCATTTAAAAGAATAAATACTTTTTCCTTTATATTATATTATGAACATTATATTTTGAATAAAGTAATTTGAGAATTTAGTCTGAAAGAAAAGAAAAAGACCAGAATGCACAAGCTATAGTACTTTGCAGTTTGCAGTGTCACTAATACATCACCTCACGTGAGATGCCCCATCTTATCTCACCACCCTTATCGCATACACCTCCCATTATAAACCTCCCTCCTTTTTATTTTGTATCATCTGGTGAATAATGAAACAATATTCCAGTAGACCTGAAAGTTTTATCAATTTTTGTTGATTTATTTTTACATGCTTGAAGTATTCCTATTTACCTCAATTTTTTTACTAAACAAGTTTATGTCATGTCAAGTTTTAAGTATGTCTACTCTAGGCCTAATAACAAGTCGCCCAATAATCCAATATATTCCCACCTTTTTGGTGTGAAATTAATCTTTAGAGTAACAATACTTTTTGTCATAGATATAAATTTCGAGATCAAAACTTAGAATACGTATGGATTCAAAAAATTTCTCCTCAAACAAAGACGTAGATTCTTTTATACCATGATGAAAATTAACCATATAACTTAATATAAATTACCTAAATTTCTCATCACTAAATTAATCCTAATAGCTTCAAACAAACACGTGGATTTAGTTCTCTATTTTATTGGCTTCTGATCACATATACTGATGCATTTATTTTCGTCTTCCTGTTTTATTTTATAATTTATGCCGAAAGCTATCACAAGTTTTAAAAACATATATAATAATAGATGTGATTGGAGATAATAAGTCTCTCCTACATACTCAAAAAGATATATAAGCCACTTCAAATTTTTTTCTCTTCTCCGATAAAGTGGGACCCACATAAATTTGTGAGTGCAACATAAGATATCTTATCTCTTATTACATAAGAAAATATAATCCCATAATAATAATAATGGGGGAAAGAATTCTCATATTGCAATAGAATTCTTTTTCCTATTAGTGAGATATTGAATTGTGTCCAATAATTTTTATTTTATTTTTCATAGATAGTAGAGCTCACCATATCTTGTGTCTATAATAAAAAAAACTCTTATAACATGAAAAAAGAGAGAGAACCATATATAATACATTTATTTTATAAGTTGATGCATAAATTTATCACTCTCATATATAAATTGTTTTCCGTACAACATTTTGAAGTCGAAAGAAAAAGTAAGGAAAAATATGGGGTGACAGTGTTAGTGCTGTAGAGAAATGTAAAGGGGTGGAGAGTCTATAAAAGACCAATATCAAGTCTCATGCGCCCTCTCACTCTTTTCTCCTTCACTTCACTCACACTTTCACTTTCACATTCACATTCACTTTCAGTTTCCTTGATCTTTCTTCCCAATTAATCTCGACCATAACACTTTCTTCTTTCCTTTTTCCTTTTCCACTTTTTCAAAACAGTTAGTTTTTTTCTCTTATCTTTCTCTCTTTCTCCTTCTCCATGGACGAGTTGAACCTGAAAGCAGAGAAGCCCAACGCCATTCGAACACACAATATCTTAGGCGCCATTTGCAAAACCCTTCGCATTGTTGAACTCTGCCTCGCAATCCTTCTCCTTTCATGGATCCTCACTCGCCTCCCTTTCGCCGTCACCATCTCCGCCGAATACCTCCGCACACTCTCCGCCTTCGCCGCCAGCCCTCTCTTCGTCTTCGCCCTCTCCAACGCCATCATCGCCGCCCTCCTCGCCCAATCCGGCAGCTTCGCCGCCCAACACTCCGCCTCTCCCGACGCCGACGCCGGACTCTACCTAGAGTTCTTGAACAACCGCGATCGCGACAGGCCTCAGTCCGAAGACGATGTTCCTCCGCCGCCGCCGGCGGAGGCGGTGGAGTACCAGGATAAGCAGGTTATCTCCGTGACGGTTCCGGATTCCGGCGCCGGAGCTGCTTCGGATATCGCCAATTATCGTCGGAGTCAGTCGGAGAAGTGGAAGGGAAAGACAGAGAAGGTGCCGCCGCGGAGAGAACTCCGGCGGTCGGAGACGGAGAAGAAGCGGCGAGAATATCCGCCGGAAAATTTGTATCCGCAAGATAAACTGAGCAATGAGGAGTTCCAGCGCGCCATTGAAGCTTTCATCGCAAAGCAAATAAGGTTTCTGCGGGAAGAAAATCCCTCGCAGATTTAGAACCCAAAAAAAAGAAAAAAGAAAAAAGAAAAAAGAAAAAAGAAAAAAGAAAAAAGAAAAAAAGAAAAAATGTTGAGCAATATGGTACCCGTTTTCCTTTTAACCCGACTGTGGTGTACAGTGCTCATATTTTCCCCTCAATCATATAAGAATGTTAATTTTTCTTTTATAATTTCTCTTTCAGTTCGTGGAATTGTGTATTGATTTAAGTAGTTTTAGTGTGTTTATTATTGTGTCTACTGATGAATTAACCATGTAGTTATTATTATTATTTTGCCAAAAATAATGGGTGTTGTGTGTAATGACGTGGCAATAGAATAGAAGCAAACATGAACCTGAGGAATACATTCTAAGGTTATATATATATAGGTGGTTTACTTGATCACACTAAATTAAGTGGTTTGATGGATAATTGGAATCGATGCTGATCTTATTCTACAGCTTCTGTTAATTAATATTAAGGGGGGAAAGAACTGTGTGGAGCTTGTTTGCTGGTTTTGATTGTGGTAAAAGTAAGGGAATGGAATTATATTCCAAAAATGACGTGAATGGCTGATGCTTAATTGGTTTTAAGTACCATCCGGAAAGCATATACATGATTGGATAAGATTTCAAATTGTATGGTCTCTTAAAATGTTAAAAATCTACTTTTTTTTATTTTTTTATTCAATGTTTCAAGTTTGAATTCTGTTTCATTAGGAAGTGTTTTATCACGGGCATGATCAAAATTACTCCAATTTTAGTCAAAATACAACTGGGGCAGTTTCGTTGTGGTTATTATTGTTTAAGTTATTGTGCATTGGATTTTTGTACTTCAAACTTGAAAGAGTTGTAGAGACGTCATGCAACTTGCTTGCAAATTGCAATCGTGCGTGCGAGCTAAACGACATGTTTCAACATATACGACCAGCAATAATTCCCTCGTAATTCGCTTTCCTTGCAATAGATGACCGGAATAATATCACCAAGTTGATGAGTGGATGTTGTTTTGATATATCTTTTTAAATATCATCTTAATAATTTTTTATGAGATGATCTTTCTAACTTAATTTTTTTTTAAATGAAAAATAAATGCATTTCATAAATTTGGAACATACAAATATATAGTAATTTTTTATTTAATAACTTAGAGAATTATATATTAGAAAAATTAGTTAGGTTAATTAGTAGGAGCTATGAAGCACCGACACTTCAAAAATCCTGACGTGTCGTGTCCGACACTCTCGGAAACTTCGACACTCTCCGACACTCCAACACGTGATATAGAAATTCAAAAAAAGGTTCAAAGGTAGCGTTGCGTTGAGATTTTAGTTTCAATTATTAGATTCGTTAAATTACGATTACCATTTTATTGAATTTAATATAAATATTTGGGATATCTTATGTTTCTTTTCAAAATTTATGAATATTATAAGTTTAGATTCATTTATTTTGTTAAATTATTAAATATTACATACAATATATATTACATAAATTAAAATTTTTATGTAATATCAAAACGTGTACTAACGTGTCGAAATCTAACATTTTTTAGAATTAACGTGTCGGAGTGTCGTGTCGTATCGTGTTACGTGTCTCGTGTCCGTATCGGTGCTACATAGAGTAGGAGTTAGAATTGTTCTTTTTATAAAATTTGTTAACTAATTATAGATTGGAGAATTTTAAGTTCTTATACATATTTACATATTAGGTTCTAGATTGTTTGGACTTTGGTGAACAACAAACTTATAAAGTGGGATTAGCTTGTTACGATGATGTTGTGGATACTCCTAAATAATTTTTTATTTTATTTTGTTCTACCGTCAATCACTGCTCTCTTAACATTCGATTGTGCCATAAGAAAATTGTACTAAATGCATTAATCACACAACAAATTATTTGACAGAAATTCAAATGTGAGTTCTAAGTGAATAATCGAATAAGAAGAAGTTTTACATTCAAAATGAATAGTTCAAACGGAGATTTTACAAGTAAAATTAAGACTTACTAAGTTATACAGTTTTAAAAGTTTTTGTTTAAGATATGATGTTAAAGACTACTTTCGAAAATTCTTTTTAAGTTTGTTGAAAATAAAAATCTACTTAAAATTTTGGGTTCTCTAATTCTAACACTAAGATCATATATCACCATTTGATTTATTTAATAATTTGAAACATAGTATGTTTTTATAATGAGTGAGACGCCATACAATTGTCCTTCCAAGAAGATACGCATAAACTTGCAAGTATCTTGCAAGAATTTGTCATAAGAACAAAATATCAATGAGAAAAAATTGTTAAGACAAAAGTCATATAAGCAAAAGATGCACAATTTTAAAGAAAAATTAAATTTTATGAAAATTTTAGGGGTTGCAATTGTATGGTTCGGTTTTATATGTTGAATCGAACTCCAATGTTGAATTGTAGAGGTGACAATATGGGTTGAACCCAACGGATCAACCTGCCAATTCCTAAAAAATATATAACTAAATATTAGTATACATTTAGGCTTGAGATTAAAAAAAAAACTAAGAAAATTGTGAAACGAAAATCAGTAATATTTAAAATTAATAAAATATAATTTATTTTTCATTTATAATTCTTTTTTATTTTTTAAGGGAGTTGGCCCGTCAACCCACCACAAAACGAGGTGAGTTGAGATTTTCAACCTATATCAAAATGCGGGGCGGGGCGGCTAACCCGTTTTTGGCGGATTGGCGACGGGGTGGGGCGGGCCGATCCGTTTTGCCACCTCTATTGAATTGGTTTGGGGGCACTTAGGGTGTGCATGACAACCTTTCCGGAATCAATTCTTTTTTAATTTCTGTTCCCGGGAACAGAAATGGATAGGAAACTCGTTTGGTAAAACCGTTTTATTTTTTTGTTCCCAGGATGAACCAGTTTAATTTTTGTGCTGGGGAACAGAAAAAGAATAAAACAAATTCTGCTTTTTTGTTCCCGGGCACAAAATGAGAAACACTTATCCCTCTCAATCACTCTCCACCATCGTACCACTAGTGTCGTTATCACAACCCCTCACCACCACGATGCCACCACCACCTCCACCTATCACCACCACCGCTACCACCACCACAACCACCACCACCACTATCACCGTCATCACCACCATCACCACTATCACCGCACCATCACCATCACCACTACCGCCATCAACCACCACCACCATTATCGCAACCACCATCATCGCCATCACACACCACTGCCACCACCCTCCATAGCCATCCTACCACCACCACGACGCCACCACTACCATCACCACCACGTCACCACCCACCACTGCTATTGCCGCAGCCACTACCGTCACCACCATCGTCGTCGCTGCCGCCACCACCAACTACCACCACCATCGTCACAACCATTACCATCACCACCACCACCATCGCCAACATTACACCACCCTCGCCACTATCATCACCACGTCATTGCCACCACTACCACCATCGCCACCATCACCGCCATCGCCGCAGCCACTCCCACCTCCACCACAACCATGATGCCTTCACAACCACCACCACCATGCCACTGCTACCATTGTTGCCGCCACCAACTACCATACCCACCACCATTGTCGCAACCACTGTCGTCACCTCCACTGCCGTCGCCACCATTACCATCGCCATCGTCGCATCTACTGCCGTCACAACCACCACCACTATCTTCACCACGTCACTGCCACCACCACTACCGTGCCGCCTCCGCCGCCGCCACCACCACAACTAGACCATGTGGAAAGGAAAGTGATGATCCAGAATTTTTTTTTATATTTAATAGGAATTATTTTTTATTATATTATTTGTTGTGTTATCAAACACAATTCTCATTCTCAGAATAAAATAGAACATGTTATCAAACACATTTTTTCTCAGGAATTGTTCCATGGCACAGAAATAGAAAAGAATTATTTCTTTTTAGAAACAGTGCTAGGGAATAGAATGGTTGTCATGCACACTCTTAACTGGTTTTGAAATTATTTCAGTTCTTAAATCATTTTGAAAAAAATAGTTCGATTCTTAAATTGGTTTAGAAAAATATATATGGTACAGTTTGATTTAGTTTATATAATTTTTATATTTCTAAAAGTTGGTATGATTGGGTTTGATTTGGTTTTATATTCCGAATCAAATCAAACTTACATAAGGATTCAATTTGAAGAAGCGAATTGATTTTAAAAAATGATTCCATTCTTTAACTGGTTCGAAAATATTCTTAAATTAGTTTGTAAAAATTAATTTTTTATGATATGATTTAATTTGGTTTTTGATTTAAGTTGATTGATATAATTTTTTTCACACCTCTAAAAAATTTATACATAAATTTTTTATATAATTCTCAACAAATTCAGAAATATTTAAAAATTAATAACATAAATGCGCATGTATTATCCCTCCAAGTGATTCTTTTATAAAAGTTATATTGCGCTCTCTCTCAGCTTATATATCTTTTATTTTCAAATTTTATTTCTGTAAATCAAAAAGTAATAACAAATCACTGGATACAATTTTCTTTTCTTTTAATATTTACAATATGCAAAGATATATCCTTACCCTCATTAGTCGAAATTTTATAAATTACTCAGACCTCAAACACCTATCATACATATTTGAGAAACACAAATTCTTCAACTATCAATTCAGACTTATTGCCTTGCCATTATGTTATCTAGTTGTAGCTAACTACAAAATTGATATAGCTTCGAGTTATTACCATTCACTTTTCTTAATATTACAGAATTGACCAACAAAGTCCGAAACAGTTATTAGATGATTGGATCTCTCAAGTATGCTGATAGAGGTTTAATTTCTGACCGTGTGTGTATAAAAAAAATAATCTTTACACTTCAAAAGAATTAATCTTTAAGTGTCAGCTGAAAATATATCGAGAAAATTCAAAAAAATATTACTGAAATGATTTTGTCTTGTCAATCACACCAATTTTCTCCTTCTTACCACGTAGCTTTCCCCACCCCGCCCATCTTCCAACTTTTATTTGCTTTTTCCTTCG